AGATTTCCTTTGAGAAATCCCCTGAGCTCTATCTGCTCATCTCAATCTCATGCCTGATCTCTGCTGTGGCATCTGGTACCTGCTGACATGTTGGTTTGTAATCTTTCTCTGACCAAATTACATTCCCACGTTATCTTTTCAACTGTCTTGTAAGTTCATCAAATTAGATGCCTCCCCCATTCAGCTTCTCAGCCATACACCTAAGGGTATCTAGGTGATGGAAATCGCCAAGCCTCCTTTGAAGCATGTCTAAAGCAATTGTGAAGTTCAATTAGTGAAATTTTCTCTTTTATATGAATTTAAAATATTTTTTTTCTTTTCATTACAAAGCAAGGAAACAATTTTTTAAAAAGAGGAGGAGGTAGATGTGGAATAGACCAGTTAGAGAAAATATGAACAACAACAAAAACCAAGTATAAATCTACCGTCCTCAAGAATTTTAAGAATTTTGACATTTTTGATTGATGTTCTACCTTGTTTGTATTGGTCTGTGTACATCTTTGTGTCTAGTCCTGGGTATTACTTAGAAAACCTTATTAAAGCAGACGTTGAGGAAACAGGCAGGGCATTTTAGTGCCTCAGTAGGAAGGGAGCAATAAGTAACTACCTTCATAACTTTATACTTCTCTGTTATTTAGCTGTTTGCAAACTATTGCCAAAAATATGGAAATAAGGACATAATATTTTCAAGTCAATTTTCATAATGGCATTACATTCACTTAATATTGATAAATCATCTTCACATCAGACATAATTGACTAAATTCTAACATGTGGCATCAACAGGTATTTTAAACTATATTTTTTGAACAGTAATTACTAGAAAGGCAAATATGGGAGGCTCCCTTAGACCCCTTCTCATTTCCATTTTCTATTATTTAGTGATAGCCTTGACAATCTTATGCATTTAAGAATTCTTGCAGAGTAAAATGATGAAAATAATGTTTCATTCTCAAAGTATGACACTGAAATAACACTAAAACCCTTTTAATATCTTATATGACAAATGTGGAGCATAAAATTTAGTAATAAATGTTTAGGCACAGATTTTGACAGGTTATTTATATTTGTTGAAAATTTGGGGAATTATGAGTAATTGGACCACCTTCTGCAGCCTTCCCAGGAGCATTAGCAGGGAGTTGGATTGGAAGTGGAGAAGTTGGGACTCAAACTAGGGGACACTGTTGTATGGGATGCCATTCTTGCAAGCCAGAACTTAGCCCATTGCACCACAATGCCAGTGCCCAAAGACTGACATTTTTAAAGCAGTCTTTTTTTATATATTCTCATGTTCTTGTGGCACATGTTGATTATTTAATGACTGCATATATTAAGCAACCCTTACCACATTGTTTTTCTGGATCACTTAGTACTGTGGAGTTGCTGACATATCACAGACTTATAAAGGCTATACTGTAGATGAAGAAAAATTCCTGGAATTTAGATAGTTGTGGAGAAGTAACAATGTATGATATGAGTTCAAGTTATGATTCTGTTCACTAATTAGCTATGTGATCTTAGGTCTACTTTCCAAATCATCTCTAAGCCACAATAATCACATTAAAAACTTGGATGAGAACACCTCCTCTTTCTCATTCTGATCTTAGGCTCAAATACAACAGACGTTAAAGTACCCTGTGAACCAAACAGTAGTGAACAAATATTATTGGGCAGACTTTACATGGAAGACTTGACCCTTGTTTCCAATTTTATTATAAATTCCTGGTGTGTATCTCTGCATTTGTTCATTTTATCATCAAATTTCCTCATCTCTAATTCAAAGTGAAAGCTCTTTGTATTGGGAACATTTGTCCCCTTCTTAAAACGTCTTGATGTCTACCTTGGATTGGACTATTATATCAAATGTATCCTTGAAAATTGTTTTCCATCCTATACTCTTTGTTACCTGTTGTATTTTTATATTGTTTTAAGACCTTTAGCATTAAGAACCTTGGCCACAGAATCAACTACTTTCTCCTTTTCCATCTCCTTTGTAACTCACCTGCTGTATAACTCCTCTCACAAATCTCAGAGAGCAGTAGCAAGGACATTTTCAGATAATAATGAAGGAAATTATCCATGAAAGCATGAAAAGAAATGAAAGGGACAATGATGAAACCCTGTGTGTAGAGAAGCTTAAGTGTTGAGAACACTTTGCTGTGAAACTATGATGTAATCTGTCAATGGACACACATCCACTGTAAAAGGAAAAGAAGAGTGATGCGGTTGGCATTGCAGTGGGTTCATCTGCCAAAGCCAGCATCACATATGGGTGCCAGTTCGAGTCTCCACTGCTCCTCTTGCAATCCAGCTCATTGCCAATGCACCTGGGAAAGCAAAAGATAATGAACTCGGGAACTTGCACTCATGTGGGAGACCCAAATAGAGGTCTGGGCTTCTGCCTTCAGCCTGTCCCAGCCCCAGCTGTTGAAGCCATTTGGTGAATGGACCAGCAGATGGATGAACTCTCTGTCTTCCCACCCCTGTAACTCTGCATTTCAAATAAATAAATAAATATTTTGAGAGAGAGAAGAGAAGGAGGAGGCAGAGGAGGGGAAGAAGCTTAATTCTTGGAGGTCTTTGGGAAGGCTTACACATGGCTAAAGCACTTCTTAGGAAGGAGTTCTGAGGGCAGGCCAAAGTGTGACAATGCCAGAGCATCCAGAGGACTAATCTGTGAACAGCACCTCAAAGCAATAAGCACGAGATGTGGGATGAGGCATAACATCAAGGGTTGTCATAAGGGACAGAAACGCCATAGAAACTATAAGTCACACATCAGTTTTAATCCCCTAACTGCTACATGGGCCAGGAGGAGATAGGAAGAACTGCAAAATTGCACCTGTGTAGTGTTTGTCTCATTACACTGTCATCTATACATTAAAATGCCTGCTAACACTCATAAGAGTCATATAAAATGAGGGGGAGATGGTCTCCTTTGCAAGAGAAGATACCTATTATAAACCCCTCCCTCTACTCCCCCACTGTCAAGCTTGGTATTTGCTTGATTGAGACCTTTAGTGGAATACAAAATTAAACACAAAAACATCTATCTGGCATCAATCCTTCTAAATACATAGATGTTGATCTTAACATAGAAAGTATAAGGAATAATCAGTTTAGCAATCGGCTGTTGGCTGCTGCTGTTTATGTTTCTGTTTGCTTTTGGCAATTGATATGCTGTGATCAATACACACAGCAAGATCTGGTTCAGGAAAACAAATTGCTATCAAATCAATGAAATGTTCATTAAGAAACACAGATGTCTAGAAGATATCCTTATTCGAAAATAACCAGAATTTTTCTTTACCCTGTAGTTCTTGAACACACTTACGTTGATATACCACAAAAAATAAAGGGCAAATGAGATCTGAGAGCCCTTAATAGGCAGGCTTCTTGACTCCTTCATTTTGTATTTTAGTGCCTATTTAATTACCAGGATATAGTAAATGCTTAATAAATAATTGTCAAATGACTAATATGTATAAACCTATAAGTGTGTGTACTTAGTGAAATATGAATATAGTAATTGAATCATTCGCTGTACACATGGAGCATGAATACACACATACATATGGGTACAGGTATATATACATAAAAAAGAGCTCAAAATTCATGGAAATATGCATTACCTTTTAATTTCACTTTCCACAAATATTTTTGAAGCATCCTTATGTGTGATTATATATATTTGTGTGTGCTTGTGTATGTATACATATACTGACATTTAACATTTGGAACATTCCAAGTGGCAAGAAAAAAATTCTTGAGACACAAATATTAAAGGCCTTAGGCAGACAGCCTTCATCATCTTGGAAGAGGTTTCTAGAGTGACATCCCAGGGTTCTAAACATAGGACATGACCTCTGAAGACCAGATTTCTACACAAATATACTTGCCAAGATTATTTTATCCTTGGAATTTATTCCCTGCAGTCTTCCAACTGCAGAAAGAGAGGAGCTAGGGCAACTTCTTTTCGATGCTAATCCCCAGTGGACCGGGTCATTTTTGTAAGAAAATCTCACCTTCCTGCTGGTGACAGAGGCCCACTGTTCCTGCCTTCCTCCTCTCCAAGCTGGTAGCCTATGTTGTTGCTTTGTGATCACTTTCTTCAAAGGATGTAGGGGAAGCATAATATCCTCCAATCAGTTCATCCATGTAAAAATAAATAGGTGTACAGGTGCAAATGACTTGCCCAAGAACTTACGCCAAGTAAAGATGTCTCAGCCTCGATATATCCAGAATAACTAGCACTGTGAAACCCCGTACTAGTCCCGTTGTCCTATGCTTAGGCTAACATTTGCAAACGACAGAGACACCAATTGATGATTTTAAACTGAGGGACAAGGGTAGGAAGTGGTTAATTAGCTAATCCCTAGGCCTGGGGATCACCTGTTTCATGGATCAGAACAGTAAAGCAAGCTATCCACAGCAGTTTCAGGACGAGTGGGCCATTGTTTTCAGAACCAGCTGTAGTTCTTCCACAGTGGCCTTAAAACAGCTGCAGCTGGTGCATTTAGGAGGGCGGTGGGGCGGGGCGCGGGAGGCGGAGCAGTCCTGTTGGAAGACCCAGCAAAGAAGGAAAACCGCAAGGACCCCGGCGCGCCACCTCCCGGCAAACCAGGAAGTCCGTCTGCAGTAAGCGCATTGGATTGAGCCACCTTTGGAACCTGTGTAAAGTGTGAACGGCGCACAGCAGGCCCCAGATGTGTGCTGTAACTGCAGACCCTCGGCAGCCGGGTGCGGGAAAGGCTGCGGGCGGGCACAGCCTGGGCAGGGTGCAGTGAGTCGGCGATATCGGAAAGTACACAGAGCAAAGCAGACTCTGTCGTGGTAGCAAACCATGACCGAGCAAAGTCCGTGGTAAACAAGCCTGGCTGCAGCAGCTTCTAGACGCGCGCCCTCAGCGCGCTCCTCCACCGCGTTTCCGCCCCATCCTTGGATTCGCCCCCTCTTTCGGCCCCGACCCTCTCCCCCCCGCGGCCGGCGCCTCGCACTCACCATCTCTTGCCTGAGGTGGTGAAGCTTGGTCTCCAGCCTCTCCACGCTGCTGGAGTGGCCACGTCTTGGGGAGCCAGAGGTTGGGGAGGACGATGAGGAGGACGACAAGGAGACAGGGAAGCTGCAGCTGCTGCTGCTGGTACTGCAGCCACCGCCGGCGCAGCTCCCCCCGCAGGGGTCCCCGTCTCTTTCCCAGGGAACCGGCTCCTCCCCGCGGAGCGAGCGCACTAGGCTCTCGGGGACTTTGCGCCCCAGCTTCAGCTCGATATCTCTGAGGTCTGGCAGCGGGCAGTCTTCCATGACTTTGCGGGGACGGGGATAATGGTGATACAAGGCAGCAGAAGAGGGGCAGCCTCGACCTCAAAGGCTGCAGCGTGATCAGCAGCCCCCTCGGGTGGTGCCCGGGTCTCTATCCTCAGAGGACCGAGGGCACCGTCCTCGCCATAATCCCCAGTGCGGAACCAGCCTTCAAAGGACGCGGCGGGTGGCAGTCGCGGTTCCCTGACCGTTGCGACTCCCGTGACACTAAGATTGTCCAGATCGCTTCATTGTCTTCCTTTCTGGCCACTCCACTGCAAAGTTGGGTTAATTGATATTGCAGAGAGGGAGGGAAAGCCAAGTATTCAAGATTTTTTTTTTTAAAAAAAGGGAAATAAACTCTGTTTTCGCCTTAAAGGTGAAAAATTTTCACATTATAAAACTGTCCATTCACACCCCTGCGCCGGTCACTGCCTGCCCATCTGGTACTACGCGACAGAAAATAATGATGTGGCCACACTCCTGGGTCGTTTCATTTTCCAAGCCATATGTCTGCAAGCTTTCGAAATATCCTGGATTGGCAGATAAACTCTCCGCTCAGTGACAGAGGAGGTCGGTGGCGTGCGTAGAGACATAAAAAAAAGAGATAGTTTAGCAGGAGTTTACAGCTTCCTTGATGCCGCAGAAATGTCCTTCTTTCCAACGAAGCTTTTGATCCAAGTCATTGTGTTCCTCTGAGCCTTGGAAACTTTAAACTCCGCTGGCAGGTGGACCAAACCAGGGCCAACCCTACTACCGTATTTCACAGGCAAGAAGAGCCACCGTAATTTCCTCAACCCTGCAAGCTCTAGCAAGGTCTCAACTTCAAGCCTTAGTTGAGAGTATTCTCAACCCCCTACCTTCCTAAAAAGTGGGGGGGGGGGCTAGTTTAGAAAACTTTCCTTACAAGTTTACACAATGGAAAGAATGAAATGGCTTTACCAAAAGTTCAATGAAAAATTCCAACCAAAATTAATTGTCTTACCAAATGTTACAGTGTGTCACTGCAACAAACTAAATATTCAGGATAAATTGTATGAGTACTGAGCCAGCAGTGGGATTTTAAAAGGAGGATGTTACTGAGTTACTTTTTAAATTTCTTTTAAAGATTTATTTATGGGAAAGTTGGAGTTGCACAGAGAGAAAAGACAGAGAAACGAGAGAGAGGTCTTCTATCTCCTGGTTCTCTCCCCCAAATGGCTCCAAAGGCTGCAGCTGGGTAGCTCTGAAGCCAGGATCCAGGAGCTTCTTCTGGTCTCCCACACAGGTGGAGGGGCCCAAGGACTTGGGCCACCTGCTGCTGCTTTCCCAGCTGCATTATTAGGGAGCTGGTCCCGAATTGGAGCCACGGGTCTGGAACTGGTGGTCATATGGGTTGCCAGTGTCACAAGCAGTGACTTTACCAGCTATGACACAATGCCAACCCCAATACTTTTTTTTTTAATTGTAGGATAAATACTATTGAAAACAACTAAGTCAGAAGTTGTACCCTTATAATTTTTCGGTAATTTTTCAACTATTTAATAAAAATACATGTTGTACAAATTCTTATTCTGAGATTTCTGCTGAGTAGGTTACTATGAGCCATATGGATTACATGTTTGATTCAGCAATCAGTTTGTATCAGTAATCAAGTAGAAGATACTTTTCAATCCAGCAGACTGTAGTTTTTAGATTCTATTGGAGTAGTTTTGAATATGAGTCTTTCTATTTCTAGGACACATAATTATTTATGTTTGTTAATATGGTCTCTCTAAGGCTCCACTCCCAGAAACTTCATTACTCAAATTCTACACACATAAGAGCATAGGCAGATGCATCCCAGAGTTTTTGTGTGTTTTCATGGTACTTTCTCCTTATAGCACTATAAGGAGAGAAAACATAGGTCTTCCGAATGAATTTCATACAGGAAGAAAGCTGCTGAAATTCTCTTGTGAACGTGCCAGAAATGTGTATGTTATATCTCAATTTATTTCTTTTTTCTCTTATAAATGTAATTTCACTTTATTTGAAAGAGAGACAAAGAGAGATTTTTTTTTGACAGATAGAGATAGACAGAGACAGAGACAGAGAGAAAGGTCTTCCTTCCCTTGGTTCACCCCCCAAATGGCCGCTAAGGCCGGAGCTACGCCCATTCAAAGCCAGGAGCCAGGTGCTTCCTCCTGGTCTCCCATGCCAGTATAGGGGCCCAAGCACTTGGGCCATCCTCCACTGTCTTCCTGGGCCACAGCAGAGAGCTGGACTGGAAGAGGAGCAACCAGGACTAGAACTCGGTGCCCATAGAGGATGCCAGTGCCGCAGGCGGAGGATTAATCAAATGAGCCACAGCATGGGCCCCCAAGAGAGATTTTTCTATCTACTGATTCAATTCCTAAATGCCCACAATAGCTAGGGCTGGACCAGGCCAAAGTGGAGACCCGGGAACTCAGTCTGGGTCTCCCAGATGGATATCAGGGACTTGATGGTTAAGCTGTTACTGGATGCCTTCCAGGGTGCACATTATCCAGAACCTGGATTGGAAGTAAGGTGGACACTCAAACCACGGACTCTGAAATGGGATGTGGAGTCTTGACTGGGGCACCAAATGCCCACCCCCATTTCTCCCTCTCAAAAAGAAATTAAGAAAATAGTTGTGCTAGGTGACCCATTTCAAAGTTAGAATCATCATTTATGAAATCAAAGAACAATGGCTGGTGCCGCGTCTCAATAGGCTAATTCTCTGCCTGAGGCGCCGGCACCCCGGGTTCTAGTCCCGGTTGGGGCGCCGGATTCTGTCCCGGTTGCTCCTCTTCCAGCCCAGCTCTCTGCTGTGGCCCGGGAGTGCAGTGGAGGATGGCCCAAGTGCTTGGGCCCTGCACCCGCATGGGAGACCAGGAGAAGCACCTGGCTCCTGACTTTGGATCAGTGTGGTGTGCTGGCCGCAGCAGCCATTGAGGGATGAACCAACAGAAAAGGAAGACCTTTCTCTCTTTCTCTCTCTCACTGCTGTCCACTCTGCCTGTCAAAGAAAGAAAGAAAGAAAGAAAGAAAGAAAGAAAGAAAGAAAGAAAGAAAAGAAAAGAAATCAAAGAACAAGATTAAATTTCAACTTACTGATAAAACTACATGTTTTTTTCTAAATATGGAAAACCACAAGCTCATTCATAAGAATTACATTGTTCTGTGCAATTATGGGGAATTTGTGCTTCGATCAAGAAGTTTTTGTCTTATGCTTACAAAGTTCAGCACAGGTCTGGTTGTGCAGCACTTTACATATTCAATATTCAGCTTGAACTAGGTCAACAAAGATTTTTATTGTCAAATCGTCACCAGTGTAACTATAGAAAATGGAACACCTACTTTTGCTATGAGTCACAAACAGTAAAATTAGTATTTGATGCCAAAGCTAGCTCAAAAATAAAATGCATTGCTATTTATTTTAAAATCTACCCAAGGAGTATTTTATTTAATTTTTTTTTATTTTTATTTATTTGAAATGGGGAGAGAGAGCGAGAGAGAGAGTGATCTCCCATCAGCTGGTATATCCTACAAATATACACAATAACCAAGGTGGGGCCAGGCCAAAGTCAACAGCCAGGCAATCAATCTGGGTCTTCAAAGTGATGCCAGGGACTCAAGTACTACTGTCTCCAAGAGTACCTACTGGCAGAACACTGAAATCAGAGTGAGAGCCAAAAGCTGAACCTAAGAACCCAGATGTGGGATACTGGAGTCTCAAGCAGTGTCTTTGTTGCTGGGCCAAACACCTGCTCCAGTTGTGTGTGTGTGTGTGTGTGTGTGTGTGAGGGGATTTACATAAACCTGCAGAAGAAACTCATCAGTTAGCTAAAATGTGACATAAATATAAAGTAACGCTTTGTTCCAGTGAAATATTGAACAAATGTAAATTCTTAAATAAAACTTAGTTATGTTAAGACTTTTTTAAACCCCTCAGCTTAATGATCACTTTAGTTTAAAATAAAGGCATTTTGAATGTGGGTTTAGCTAATTTTCTGAACATTTATGATCATAGTACATTACTTAAGGCCATAAAAGATCATGTTTAACTCTAATCATTATTGATTTTAAAAGTTTGATCTGAGGACATTTCTTACCTAAAGTATTTCAAAATAAGTGTCCTTTTACCTTGAGTCTTGGGCATGTTATTTATTTGTTTTCAGGATTCCTCTATGATTTAAGTGGAGGGGGTTTCAGCAATTGTTCTTTGCTGATATGTTAATCACATAACTTGATTTGGGAAATAAGTTGCCAAGGCTGTGAAGCGAGGGTCCAGGCTGGAGTTAGGGTGAGAGTGTAGGCAGCAAGAAGTAGAAGAGGGCAGAGAAGGTGAAGTGGGAAAGAGGGAAGATCTCTGGTACCCCACTCTTGGCAGCACTCCCTCCCTGCCCCCATCTTCCTGTCCTCCTATTGGATGAAGCCAAACTCATGGTGTCTCTTGGAGCATCTGTAGAAAATGTTATTGTGTGTTATTCTTTATTATATGCTTGCTTTTGAGAATGCCATGCATATAAGCTAGTTTGTCTTGTTCTCTTTAAAATGAATAAGGAATCTAAGTATGGCTATTAAACCACAAAGATCGTGTTTGTTCCCCAGTTAGGCTGTGTTCACAGAAAAGGAAAGGGGAACTCATATATTGTTAAAGAAAAAAAAACAGTGGCTAATTACCTGAGAACACATGACAAGTTTGGAAAGAATGGCTCAGTCACAACAGACTGTGGTGATGTACGCTGCACACATTCCACATAGAACACTTCCCAGTATGAGGTACAGCATTTACAGCAACAGTAGGCTCAGAAGGACTTTGTGTAGTGTGGGTAAGGCCACTCCTTAATCTACTGCTGGCAGTGTGGTTAAGAGAAGCCTTCCATCTTCTCTCAGTTGCTTATTGAAACTTTCTAGCACTCCCAACTCTTTCTGCCATAAAGTTCAAGGACTAGGGCAGTGTCTAACCTGAGGCTCCACTCTCCGCACAGCAGCAAGAAGCCTGCAGCCTCAAATTACCCTTAACAATTTTAGGAAGTAACTATTTAGTAGGTATCAAGTTCTTTGAACCTTTGCTTTACACGCATAAAGCTGCTGTTCCTATAAATATTTTTGTTCAGCTTATAGGCGTAACAAGGAAGATGTCATAGCAAGGTTAAAGAATGTTGACCCTGTCCATATATGGTGGAATTATACATCTCTGAAAGCTACTAAAGTTTTACCCTGCCTGTTTATAGAGTCGTTTAATTCACCTATAATTTTGCAGCTAGCTTGGATCTGTTTTAAAGAGTAAAATCATCTAGTTTATTACCTACCTGAGCAAATTGTACATGTATATACTATACACATCACTGTATCTCTGTATCTATTATGCATTTATCTCCATCATTACTCTCCATAAGGAGCACAGATCTTTTAAATAGGACTGTGAGTAAAATCTAATTAATATTTATAATCAGAGCTAAACACTTCCCTGGGAGATTTAGTAGACGATACCAAAAGTAGGTCACTGGCATCTAAATCTCCCTTATCCCTTAGTTACAATCCCTGTCAAATCTCTCTGACTTCATTACTTGTGAAAGTCCCTTATTTGCTTATGCTTTTTCTTGCTTTCCTGCTTTCTTGCTTTCCTACAAAAAGGTACAATCCAGGGCCCAGAAATGAGATCTCCTTTGTTTATCTTGGTCTATTTGTCCATAGTCATTCCAGTTTGATGTCTAGAATGGACTTT